AGCAACAGCAGGAGAAACAACAACAATAGCATTAATAACAGAATCAATAGCAACAGCAGGAGAAACAACAACAATAGCATTAATAACAGAATCAACAGCAACAGCAGGAGAAACAACAACAATAGCATTAATAACAGAATCAACAGCAACAGCAGGAGAAACAACAACAATATCATTAATAACAGAATCAACAGCAACAGCAGGAGCAACAACAACAACAACAACAGCAACAACAGCAACAGCAACAACAGCAACAGCCATAGGCCTAGCAACACAAAGCAACATGAACGACAAAAACAAGTTCCGAGTGTCAAGTATCGATACCAGCCCAGTTTACCACAGATACGCGGGACGATAACTTTGCCGCAAACGTGTGCTCGCGAACTGAGATTTCGCCAACTGCTGTATAAAAGGATCGCGAACTCCCGGACATTCAAAACTTTTTTTCTGGACTTGTTTAACTTAAATTAGGCAAGTAATTATATGTAATGAAACTATCCTGCAAAGGATGCGAGCATACTAAGAGTGTTATGAACTTTTCCAAAGTTACAGTACGGTTTGTGTGGAGGACAACATAGTATTTTTGCCGACTCTCCTCTGTGTGTTCAATATTGTAGGTCTACAAGTTCAAGGATAATAATAATAATAATAATATTGTTTTGGTATGCAAGAGCATGTTTTACTAACTTTACATTCAAGCTTCTTTTGGCACGTTGGTTAGAAAACGTGTCAATATTTCACGTTGGACAAGTGTACAAGTTATCACGTCATATTATGCTCAATTTTAAAATTCCTTTTCAAACATGTAAATAAGGCATCTGATAAACAACTTTTTTCGTGTATGATTTGACAAGATTTAATTGTACAGGTGAGTGTAGGAAACCAAACCCCGGAATAACACTTGGGATATGTTTAGATGAGCGCATCATATTAATCTGTGCATTATCGCCCACAAGTGGGCTTTTGGTGGGGGGTGGGGAAATGATCCAGTTAGTGACAGGTGTTATTTCTCGCCCCGCTTGGAAATACTATGCAGGTGGACAGGGTATAAACTGTAACCTGTTACGGGTGACAAAAGTGGGCGCTGGATAGGCCTATAAAGCAGGTTGACAAGCACTGACTAAGAGCATCCAGACGAGGAAAAACTGCAACTGCGAAACACGATCGCTTAGTTTGTTCCAGGTCTGGCCTTTGAACAAAACGAAGAAAATTGTAATCTTCCATACCCCAGCGTTGGTGTATATATAGGTTCTATATTATTATGTGTATACTCAAAGTTCTTCACTTCACAGCCACTTCATGACAATTTTGGTTTTTGTGTGTATTTACTTAGGCAGAGGAGGAAAACGGGGCCAGAGTGTGGACGAACGTATTGTACCGGGGTCCACATACCGACTCCTCTTTGAGCGACAAAACAGTTGCACGGTAAGTCGAACGAATTTTTTTCTTTTCCAACTGCTGTGCGTGAGTCTTTTAAACTATGTTTTAGCTCTAAAAAGTTTTTATATAGAGTTTTACAGCACTTGTGGCACAGAAAGGTCTTGAGTGCCTCAGATTAGAGGTGTTACTGGGGAGTTATATACAAAGGAAAGATTGATGAGAGATAGGGACGATATAATATAACGTAATACTATTATTAGTATTATTATGTTTGATTGGAAAGAACGAGCGAACTACACCAGAGCCCCCGCCAACCACACACTATACGTAAGGTTATAGGGGTTTCAGATTAAACGACTCGTTGAAGTCAAAAGTCGAATGCAGCGTCTTCCGAGATAGTAGTTTACGATAAAAGCGATAGTTTTGAAAGAGGTTTCAATATTTATTAGACACGGTTAAAAAGTGCACGTTGAACAGGTTACTTTAACTTTGAAATCATCTTCATGTGCTAATCCTTTTTAGTTTAGTTAACATTTTGTTAACATTATGAGATGTTCATCTGTGACATATACAGGTACATATTATTGCTCTGATTTTTAAAAAAAGGGAAAAAAGAGAGAACGAACAAAGTCTCTGCAGAAAAAAATACGCTATTCCGTCACCCATTGAAAACTACGTAATCACAAACAAAATCTTTATGAAATGTTCCTTCAACAAGGACGAACTGACGGTGTGACAAGTGACTATTGAAGAGTTGTGAATACTTCTTAGAGGCATGTTTCTAAACTCTTGTTGGCTCCACCTATGACCACACCTCACACTCGTCTAGTATAAAGTATTTTTCTATTTATCTCAACGATTAGGCAAGTCTTGTTGTGACTGGAAATAGACAAGAAAACTCCCCGAAAACCGTTTCTTTTCCAAATACAGTCGTGCCTCCTACTTTAAAGACCACCTCTCCAAGACAATCGCCTGTACAAATGACCACTTCCTACACTCTCCTCCCCCCTCTCCTTCGGAGCTTCTTTACACCATAATGAAACTCTCCAAGAGGACCACCTGACTAAGATGATCATTTCTGCCCTCAATAATGAGATATCGACTTGCACAGATTTGACTGTACACGTTTACAATTACTGTTACTGAGCCCATAATTCACGAGGATCGTAGGGGCGCTGTATGATAGAGAGCTTCATCAGGTGTCTCCTCTTTTCACTGGGGTTTTTTTTTGCAAGCGCCCGAGTTTGGGTGAAAGATTTCTCTGTCCGCCCCTCAAGGTTTTTGGTCCACTTCTTCCTTTAGCCTACTTTCCTCTCCTTCTCCTCTCCTGCGCAGTTCCCCGAAGAATCGTCTAGGATATCTTGTTACAGTTTTCTTCGCTTCACAGTTTCACAGTAGATAGTAGGTCTAGATAGCAGCTCATGCGTTGCTTCACTCTTCTGTTGACTTCATTTGAGACGTGATCAGTGTTTGAGCAGATGCCAAAGTGTTGTCTAAAGCGTCTCAGTTCAGCTGCTAGGATCTTCCTCTGTACATGTACTTGTGGAGAAAGTTAGGAATGAAATAACAGTTGTCAGCCCTGCCGTCTCAGGTCCTATGAAGAGTCGATATCCTTGTGCCATTTCCTTCAACTCTTTGTTAAGCCTCTCTGCTCTGTTTCTTAGTGCAACCCAGTTTTGAGAAAAAGAACCTTTATTGACACTTCGAAGGGTGAATGTTTTTTCGTGTTAGTCGAATACCGTGTAATTAAAAGTATTATTTGACTCCATCAACAACTGGTAAGGTCGTGGGTTCGAATCCCGGGGGGGGGGGAAGTTATGTCCTTGGGAAAGGCACTTCGCACAAATTTTCTCATTTCAACCAGGTGAAAATAGGTACCCGCCATAGACAGTGAACGTTCTTGTCAGTTTGATAGTGTTTGAGCAAATGAAATCTGCAGCTTGCACTGTATGCTTCCCAAGAATGGTTTTGAGTGTTCTCAGAGGGTCTGCTGGGGTAACAATGGTTGTGTGGCACACAGAGCATGGATATGCGCTATATAAATGCGATTATTGTTATATTATTATGTTTCGAACGTTTAATAAAGGAAGGGCTTACCTAATTGCGTCCGCCAACTTTCTGTTAATTTCTGGCAAAGCCACCCCTGCGCTTTGTTGAGAGTAATAAGCTCTTGACCTACTTATGGTGTGACGAGTGAATATTGAATAATAATAAATGCTTCTTAAAGGGTTTAATAATTCTGTTTTGTTTTTGTAAAGTGTTTTACGGCGCTCGCAACTGCATAAGGTCATATGAACGCGCGGGACACACCTCATATTTTCAGTTGGTAGGAAATTTTGAATTTTGCCCAGGTGGCGGCCGAAGCCTACTCTTATCGATTTTAGACCACCAAGGGATTTTTAACGTGCGCAACTCGCACACGGGCCCTCCGAGATTTTTCGCCCTTGTCCGAGAAGGCTAGGTGTAGATCTTTCTTACCAGAAGATCAGGGTTGTGGCTGAAAGACAGCAGTAAGAAGAAGCGAAGCAGTACCAGTAGAAAGGCTGCAGAAAGAATCAGGAGCCCAGAGGAAAGGGCAAAGGAGGTGAGGGGGCGGGGGCAGAAAGAGGAGACGAAAGCAGACGATAGAATATTGCTAGAGAGCAGGAAATGAGGTGAAAGGAGGCAAACTTAGAGAAGAAAATTTTTCGGTCGCTACCCGGATTAGAACCTGGGACCTTTTGAATGAGAGGCCAACACCTTAACCTCTAGGCCACGAGAGCCCCCTTTTATAATTCTTGTTGGCTCCACTATCACTCTGTCTCATAATCGTCCTGTACAAAGTATTTCGGTGTTTACCTCAATGGTTTTAGATGTCACAATAGTCTCTAATTTAGGTTAGCTTGAGAAAATTAGACAAAAATCAACTGTGCGTAAAAACCACTCGGTATTTGTCTGACCATGCCACGCTGCGAATAGTTACGAATAGCGGAAAACGTGAATGTTGAATAGTGAAGTCAAAAGGGCACAATGTCAACTCTTCTGTTTATCTTTCATTCAGAAAGGACACCTTATTAAGTCATTCTGCTCTGAGTACTTTTAGTTATCTTGTTTGCTTTACAAGTCGGTAAATAAGAGACACGAAGGATAACAATAAAGTTCAGATACGTTATGATAGGCTGTCGAAAGAGAACAGGTAGGTCACGTCAAATCGTTTTGTATCTCACTGTAGGCTATCGATTTTGTGAGGCATCGTGGTGAAATCAGGCGCTCGTTACAATAATGAAACTATAGAAACAAGCATTTTCGGCAATTTTTACTGAATGTTTGTTTTTTGACTCAACACCTTTTAGGTCCATTTTAAAACACATATCTGAAAAAAAACAACAACCCGTTGATTTATTACAAAAGAATTTAAATGTGCAATTCCCAAGGACTCTTAAGCTTTGGAAGTCACGGAACTTTAACGGCCATTTTCTCGCTAATTCGCGTTCTGAAAAGAAACAAGCTCTACGTCCTTCAACCTATAATATCTCGGCTTCTAGTCAAGACAGATGGGTACTTTTCTCATCAAAAGCAAGACAAATGAACAAGCTTTAAGATGACGAAAAGAAGTCCACATGCCCCCAAACTGAAGAGCGCCTCTTTTCACCGCGTCGTGGTACATTTTGTCTCTGTGTATACATTGTACTTACAGAAGGATATACAACAGTCCTTGTTAACCTAGTGGGCGATTTGGTCATTTCGGTGGGCTGTGGGGGATCACCCAGGTATTGGCAGTTGTTACTAATAAATTCGCCCTCTTGGAAATACAGTCATACTTGATTATAGTGCCCCCCCCCCCATTCCCACCCCCCTCCGTTATACTGCCAGATGCACTTACCTCCAGGTTTGTCTGACGTACGAAAAAGGATGCCGATATAAAAAGGTTAACCCTGATTTCACGGCTTTCCAGAAATCTTGACCTGCACCAAACATTGCACTGCCTATAAGAGAAGTCTGGTTTCATTGGTGTGTATATTTGTTTGGTTATAGAGAAAACTCTCTGTGACTTTTAAAGAAACTGAACTAGGGGAAAAAAGTTTACCTTCGATTTTCTTAAAACAGTAATTTTTGGGATAGTCTCCTTGGGCTTAAAAGCGACTAAATATCATATGTGTGCCTTCACAACGCCATCCGACTACTGTCTGAGTTGTACAGTCCTTATGGAACTCGTGTAAATTTGCCCAGCTATACCGCCAGTGAACTGACCGCCACACACGGCGCATGGCATCTACTGTTTGGCTGCTTCATAATCTATCTCCCACACCACCTCGTACAGGGTGCCCATTGAGGGATCGGCAAACTGATCGCCAACCTATCGCCCGATTCGCAGCCTGAAAACAAACGCGTTAAAGTTTGTTTTTGAGGTTGCAAATGGGGCGATCGGTTTGTGCCACGATGGTCGCTTAGTGCCCTCAATCTACCCCGATCGGTTTGTGCCCTCAATCTACCCCGATCGGTTTGTGCCACGATGGTCTCAATCTACCCCGATCGGTTTGTGCCCTCAATCTACCCAGCCCCGCCGACCAACTGAAGCCAACCGATCGTGCCCATGGGCACTGGGTATAAGCCTGTCGGCAAAATATCTGGTGTCTCCCATAGATGTAGGTGTCGCTAGATATCAGTCCAGTGACCCCAAGGCAGGCGGCACTGTCTTTTATTTTGTGAGGACATGCGTTCAAGTCGACCTAACAAGTCTGAAGTGGCCCGAGGATTGCGGGCATCGGGAAAAAGGTTGGACATCATCAGGGACCTTTAGATAATGAAAAAATATTATCTAAGCAGGCTTAACATTTTTAATAATCTTAAAAAACTGTCTCTGGGAAGAAACAAAAGCATAAACAGCTCTTTTGCATGCCAATGTGTATCTAAAGTGGTAAAGTAAAGTAAAAGTTGTTACCGCATCCGATTCGGACATTGGGGATTGCCTTGTTAATGAGACAACTTCCTGGGCCTTCGGCATATTGTGATAGGGTGGTCAGTTCCTTTACTTTCCCACTCGAAGTAGGCACCCACTACTGCTG